CCTTCCACCGCATTCTCTTGAGATGAATAACCGTTTTCTACCCTAGTTTATTTCTTGCAGGTTAATTGACCTCTCTACTGAGTTTTCCTGATTATTTTCCCCACTGTTCTGTTGTTCATAATGCTCACATTTGATTCAGCAGTCCCCAGACGTCCTCTCCCTGATCTCACGGACACTCACTTATCACTGAGACACATAAAGCACAGCCCAATCTCTTCCCTCACTGGAAAATATGGCACTGTCAGCGAGCAAAAGAGAGAGAGATAAGAGGCTGTGCAGGTGGATGTTTAGTTATGCTAATGCATACCATCAGCCGGCCGCCTCTTGCTATCTGCTATTATTTGACTTCACTTGCATAATTCTGAATTTATAATGATGTTGTGTGGTGTTGTACAGCTCAAAGACAGGAGACCTGGACAGATCGTGCTCTTCACGAACCTCCATAGTCTATACAGCATCTGTTAGCATAATCAGAACTGGCTGCGTCACTGGATCATGCCAGCTCTTTAAAATGTAATAACTGTTTATCAATACAAAATTAAATTGAATTGGTTACATTTTCTGCTTACTAATGAAATACATTTAAAATAATTGCATACAGTATGTGCCAATGATAAGACACCCGTTTTGTATTAATGTAAAATACATACAATACATGCGTACAGTGACTAGATCGTGATTGTTTTTTCACTTTTTCAGTAAGATTTTATGTTTTTGAAAGTTAAAAAGAACAGCATTTATTTGAAATCAAAATCTTTTGTAACATTATAAATGTCTTTAGTGTCCCTTTTGGTCAATTTAATGCATCCTTGATAAAAAAAACAACTAAAAATTACCAAAAAAAATTTAAACTTCTCTTGAAAATAGTTAGGGTTTTTAAAAGATTTTCCCTTTTCTTAAGAGTGGCCACTCTTATGTAATTGACCCTTATTTCAGTATGAGATGGGAAAAGCCCCCTAATAAGGATAATTCAGAGGCCGTATACACAGCAATACACACACACACCTCATATGATACAGAAAGTCATTTAACATGGATTAAACTGACGTTATGAAACAGACAGCAGATGTTACTAAGCTATGACATTTTTTTTTCTTGTCCCAACTGAGTTGAACACACACACATTACACGCGCACACATAGCATGGCCTGAACAAACACACCCAGCTCCACTGGTAATGCCAGCGGCCCTCAGCAAACTTATTAGGGAGAGAGCATGCAGTCAGCCATTCACACAACTCATTGTGTTCCACAGGGCTGTGTCTCCAAACCAGACAGCATCACTTTAGTGGAAAAACAACAGAAGACTCCAGGTCAGATTCATCTGAACATACAACGCCAGTGGCTAATAATGTTATGCACACAACTAGCTTCCATTTGCTAGATTGAGTTTAAAACTGTTGGCAGACGTTGTATTTTTACTGGCACATCTTTATTGTGTCTGATAGTAAATATTACTGTGGCATTCCAGAGCTGATTTTATCTTCACTTTCACCACTTATGACCACTTATCTTTGATTTGGCTGGAATGAAAGTGGTGTTTACTGCTGAAATCAGACGAACCTTTCAGAGTTTGGAGTGACAAGTGGAATCAGAATAATAACAAATTCAAATTTTTGTACCCACATGTGGTGTGTGTGTGTGTGTGTGTGTATATATATATATATATATATATATATATATATATATATATATATATATATATATATATATATATATATATATATATGTGTGTGTGTGTGTGTGTGTGTGTGTGTGTGTTACACAATTTACACACATTACACAATTTACACACATTAAAATCATATTTTTGTCGTGTTCCCTATGAAAATAGTTCTGTACAAATGAAATGTATAAATTGTATATTTAATCAAATATATGCAATAATTATAATATATTAAGTATTTAGTTTTACTCTGCCTATTTTTTTTAGTCGATTTACTCTGACTGATCCAATCAGTAACTGAAAGACTGCTATATTAACTTGACCTGTGGAGGGCGCTCTGTTCAGAAGTGGACCACGTCATGTTGCAGTTGAGTATTTTTGGAGCTGAACAATCTGGCCTGCTGTTTGTGCATTTGTTTGTTTGCGTGCGTGAGCAAGAGTGACAGAAATACACATATGTCCCTATACGAGTGACTTTCAGCAGGATATCTGTGCACTGATTGATGCAGTCTCATGGGAAGACGTGAAACAAGACACCAACATCGCTAACAGCCCTGTCCTTGATCCACTGCCACTCCTTCAGCTGTGTGTCGAGACGACAGGGTGACCTCAGGGCTCTTTTCAGATGTTTAACTAAGACAAATAGGAGCTCAATGAATCTCAACTGTTCCATGATGTCAGCATGACCAACAGTGACAGGGCTCAACAATAATGATTTTGTCCGGTTGGTTTGGACGGGCCTGTATTTATTTATTTATTTTTACTTTCCCTGCCAACATTTTAACTAAACCACCACAAAAATTATACATTTTATTTTTAACCCTACATGAGTAAAAATAAACTCTCTCACACTGGCCCCTGCCATCCTTATTGTGGAGCCCTGCAGTAAAGAGATTAAAGGTACAATATGTAAGAATTTTCTATCAAAATATCCAAAAAGCACTTGCACTTTGCACAGTGTTATATATTTCTTTCAATTATGTACTTACATTATCCTAAATGTTTCCAAGGATTTGTAAATTCAGAGAAATTCACAATTTTAAATAGTGCCCGTCACTTGTTGCCCATCAATGACATAATATCCGCGTTATCCCTGGTTTCCGCTTGTACTGCCATAGTAACCATGGCGACATATGTGGACAACTGCGTTACGTCTAGCGGCACACTGTTGTTTCGTTCCAACTAAAATGAGAATCAATATCAGCGTGGCGTTTTCGAGATGTCGAGAGCTTCACGGCAAACTTGGACTTGACAGAGACGCCGCACTTGCATGTACTTTATTAGACAGGTGAGCAAATGTACATAAAAGAAATCAATGTTATATAGCTCAACATGATGAAATGTTAGAATATGATCAGTATGTTATTCTAATGATCTAGCTTACTGTCTCATACAGCCAACAAACACATAAAATAGCATTATAACTTTCAACACACTCAAATGCTGTTTAGTGTGATAGTGCAGACCAAGTGAAGCAGCGCTGCGTTACCTCACAAGTTTCATTCGTCTAATAAACTGACCTGTGTGATAGTAATTCAGCACTTGCGGGTAGTTCGGTAGAATGAAATGTCCTCATTACGTTATATCCGTGGGACTCGTGTGTGGCGCTGATATCTGTCTCTCATTAGCAATCGCGCTTCATACCACAGTCATGTTAAAAAACATCAATGTATTCACTCATCCATAAACATTAGATCCATCAGCATGACATAAAGTTCCATGATTCTGCTTATGCGTCATCAATCTACGTTTTTGTTATTGTAAGAGGTTAGCGATTTTTTTTTTTTTTTTTTACATATTTTAGCTATAAATGGCTGACAGTATCAATGGTATACCGTCATTAATGGGACAGTAGTTTCTGAGGAATATTGTTATGAAACTGCCTGATTACAGTTTATCACCCTGTTATAAAAACAAAATCCTTTCTGAACAAGTATGTTGATTAAATAGTGTTTGTTTGACTAACTTAATTTTGCATTCTGTTTTGCTTGCCATGTTTGACCATTAGTTGGAGTGTTGTGAGATGGGAGGGGTGGGTTTACAGTGTGTTTGGGCAGCAAAGACAGATGTGTGGTTGTGCTCTGTGGTCAGGGAGTGGTGTTTAGAGAAGGAGGTGCAGGATCAATGGGGCCTGTGTGTGTATGGTTCAGGTACCCTACGTTATGGGAACAAAATGTCCCTACAAAGATGGCAATATTCGAAATCCTTGTCCTTGTTGGGACATTTTTGGTCCCCATCATGAGAAAAAAAGGTTATAAATCATATTAAGTGAAAATATAAAAATGCAGAAAGTTTTCTGTGATGTGGTTTGGGTTAGGGGATAAAATATATAGTGTGTAGCGTATAAAAATCATTGTCTATGGAATGAATGAATGAATGAGGCATTTATATAGCGCTTTCATATGTACTACTGTACACCCAAATGTCCCCATAAAAAATTCAAACCCAACAAGTGTGTGCATGTGTATTTAAAAGCTCTAGTGTGTGTGTGTGTGTGCGCGCGCGTTTGATAGACAAGTCCAGAGATGGAGTTTGCTATAGTAGGCTGGTAGTGCACAAAATGATATGCTACATGCAAAGAAATGTTCTTTAATGAAGAAGCAAATAAAAATTGAGCATTGATGAAAGTTTCATATAAAATGTATGACTGTTTTTAACTGTAACAAACATGCAGGATTTACAAACTTTTTGGACATTGTTGATGAATATCTCCCCCTAGTGGAGGTCAGTAACACTGCTTTAATCCCCAGAGGTTGTCAATAATGTGAAAATAATATGTTGCAAATAATATATATATATATATATATATATATATATATATATATATATATACATATACATTATCATTCAAGAGCTTGGGGTCAGTAGGGGTTTTTTTTCTTGAGAGAAATTAATACTTTTATTCAGCAAGGAAGCATTAAACTGATCAAAATGGACAGTTAAGGCATGTATAAATAAATACAATATTACAATAAATAAATGCTGTTTTTTTTTCTATTCATCAAAGAATCCTGAAAAAATGTGCTATGGTTTCCAAGAAAATATTAAGCAGCACAATTTCTTTCACTATTTGTAATGTTTCACCACATCAGTCTATAATACTTCAATGTGACAAAAAAAAAAATTGTTCAAAGTGCAAATTTTTCATGTCGTCTATCAATCAAGTCAATCAAGTTTTAATTTTAATATACAATTGAAAAAATGTGATTTAAAATAGTTTCAGATGGAGTATTGCATGTCACACTGTAGAACACTTCTGCCACTGCTTGACTTGACCATTCAGATGCCTACAATATTCCAGATGAAGGAACTTTAAACTTGTATTCTCTCTTTAGGAATGAAGCGTCCATTTAGTCCTGTTGAAGACGGATCGAATAGACTGACTGGGCATGAGGGTGTATCCTCTGATGGGATGGAGTTTACCAGACAGGACGCCCCACCTATAAACCCTCGTTCGAAGCGGGAACGCAAACACAGGTCGTACACACTCTGTGAAGTGTGCAACATTCAGCTGAACTCCGCAGCACAAGCACAGATACACTACAATGGCAAAACACACCAGAAAAGACTCAAACACATAAACAACAGCAACACAGGTAGGATATGTGTGTCTTTCTCTGGTGTTCCTGTCATAATCGGAGCTCAAAGACTGGAGCTTCTAGCTTAACATTATCCACCCAAATACGGTCTGTTCTTGGATCAACATCCTTTATTAGTCCTGGAAATGCTTACTTTGAAACCAATCAGTGCCCTCTGATTTTGAGGATAGTACTGATTGGTTTTTCCGGAGTCAGCAGATGAGGTTTATCTGGGAACATGTCAACAAATAAACTGTGGTGAGGTTTGACTGAAATATGAACGGAGAAATTCCTGGTGCTGTTTTTTATTCTTTTCTCTTCATGAGTTCTCAGCTGGTAAAAATACCATCATATGTATTAGAGCTGTACGTTTCTGGATAAACTGAGAATCACAATTGTGTTGTTTAGAATAGAGGACTCTCTGACGATTCTGTGTAGCCAACTAAACAAAATAACATGTAAATGACTAGAGCTTCTGACAAAATGTTAATTGCTGCAAATTAATATTTAATTACTTTGAATTCTTTAAAAAAAAAAATCTGTTTTAAATGATTCAATGACTCGCTCATGAAGACTTAACTTTTTTATTAATGGATGAATCAGCATTTTTGAACAAAACAAATGAATGATTTAATGACAAATACATTTTTAACGGTCACTTGTCGCCACCTACTGGTGTAACGATGTAATTGATATAATCTTTATTTGAAGCGTCAAGTTACTTTCAAAAGGTGATTTGCTCTTTGTTGGTCGCTACCATAGACATCAGTGTTTTTATCCGAACTATAAACTTTTATCTCAGTACTTCTCTGAATTACTGTAACAGAAATAATGATACTGTGGGGTTGAAACGACTGAAGCTGTTTCATACCCTATACACGACAACTGCTCTCTCTGGATCAACAAACGCAGATTTGAATGTTGAAGGTTTAATAGACTTTTAAGATTGCGTGGGTGTTCGAATCGGGATCGCAATCTTTTAACGATTAATCGTGCAGCTCTAATATGTATGCACACACTGTTCAATGAGCTCGTCGCTCGGTTTAGACCAGCACACAGCATTGTTTTGTATGTTCGCAAAATATACGTCATCATTTTTATTTTATTTTTAGGTTAAGTGTTAAAAATGACACTGTAAATGCTAAGCAAACCAGTACTGAGTGTATCATTTTCTTCAGCCAATCATTTCCCTCTGGAATTTCAAGGATTGGTTTGAGCTGGGGATTCCAAACTTTTTGACTCCACAGTCCCCAAATGTGATAATGAACTAAAATATAAAAGGGATATGATTGGGATAGCAATGTTGCTTCAGGTCAGGACCAACAAAATATGTTGATCCAGGAACATGTCCAACTTGGCTCAATCATGTAATGCTATTCATGTCCAAAAATTAACACAATATTATATAAATGCTGTGTGTTGATTTTTTTGGTAACCTAACATTTTTTCCTAATATTAGTAATAAATGTGTAGAAATTCTTCACCAGTGCTACAAGACGCATCAAATGGTTGTTATTGACAAATTCATATATACATGACATGCAAATGGCTTTTAAAACATAATCAACCACCTTCATGTTGTCAGCTGACGTCTGACAGGCATCTTCATGTAATTCATACCCTTAGACCTCATTGTGTCCATCTGCAGTTAATATGTGATTTTGACTCTACTGGCTTTTATGTTTCCATGGTGATGCAGCTTTAAAGCCCAGCTGATAGGTTAGGAAGGAGCATTTCAAAGGTCCGTGAGATGCTGATTGTTGTAGTTACGGTGGTAAAGACGGGGCTGCACGTCTACATGTCGGCCTAGAGATAATTGCAGGAGAGAGAAAGCGAGGCAGCTGGTGGCAGCTTTGTGTCGTTCAGCCTTATTTCCACAGAAATGGGCAGAGTCGGACAAAATCTTATGATTAGAGGTGGAATTTGTCGATTTATTTGAACAACAGTGGAATAATCCACTAGCACAATTCATTCGTCCTGGCACACAAAAACAAAGCTATGCACAATCGTGCGCAGATAGCAAGCACATGCAAATGCCACACTCCAAATCCAGGCCTGCAAACACAATTTTCCTTCTCTTGTAATGCAAATGTGAAATTAAAGCTAACTTCCATGCTGTTGATTCTTACACATAAAAAGACACGCATGCACGGCCAATCATATGAGCAGCAGTCAGACCCACTTCAGGTGCAGGCTCTCATACAAATAGATCATAATTACATAGCAACCAAACATGTTCACCATGGAAATGCTCGACGTGGCGACGCCCCCTTCAGCAACGGGGTACAGGCACTCACAGTCTCGGTGGCAGTTAGATTTTATGCAGTTTGTGTGTGTGTGTCAGGGTTTTAGCATGATTCTAAATGGCATAGCTCTATGCCGATCCCATTTGTGCAAGGCGTTTATGGAGAACCTTTGAGATGCATGCATGCACACTGTGTGAGTGTGCGTGTTTGCATTCAAGCGCAAAGATATAAAGGCTCATTGATTAGCCATTCTGCTAGTGTCCGACAGCATAATAGAAGTCAAATTAAACTGGACAACCTTTCCCATGAGCATACAACAATGCCTGAAGCCTAACCACACACACATACTGTATCACACATCTGCTTGCAAACACATCCCCAGATGCACAAAACAGTGACTGACTGATTCAGTACTGTGTTTTTCATTTTCAAGTGGAGAACACTGTACAGCGGGGTTCAGTAGCCAATCACACAATATAGCAAGTTAAGCATTTAATTAAGCAATAGCTTACATTTTAGGCACAATATCACCAATTACTTTGTCTATTTTTGTTTCGCCAATAAACCAAAAGTTCCAAACGAAGGCAAAGCATTATAAGACGCTGCATGTCTCGGGGCAACACATAGTAGTAGTGTTTCATTCCTGAAAAAAATCGGTTTGAACTAATTATTTGATTGAATGATTCAATGATTAATTCATAAAGACAATCAATTGGGCTGCGGCCGAATATGCTTACTTCCCTATAATCCCTACTATATAGTTGTCGAAAAACAGTACGTGAAAGAGTTGCATGTATGAATTCACAGTATTCATAAAACAGTAGGCAAAAAGTACCCGGTTGACCTTCTACTTCCAAAGAGATTCTGAAGTGTGCAATGGATGTAGCCATGGGAGAGTAGTTGTGAATTGCCGTGAAGCGACATTTGTATTTCACATGACAAAGCCAACATGGCGGATTTAGTATATCTGGATTTCATTGGTCCTACATGCATGCATACTATATAGAACATACTTTTTTTATCAGTCACAAAGTGCCCAGTGGCCAGATAATGCCAAATGTCTTATGTTACCAGTAAAAAGTGCCCTACATTATTTTAAATATATCTAATCAATCATATTTGTCTAAAATAATTCTGTATTTTCAGCTTCAGAATCATGAATATTTTTATTCTGGTGTCACAATTGTCCTTTGCATTGGGTTACCAGCACCAAGTCCAAGCCTATTCATTTCCACACCCAATGTAAAATCAAATTTAGCATTTTTAGCAAAAGTAAATTTTTTGTTAACCTTTTACCATATGTCTTGGAGTGTCGCAATAATATCGTATCGTGATATGTATCGAATCGTGACATGAGGGTATCGTTACACCACTAGTCCCTTCTTCTAAATAAAAGTCTTTGTGTCACTGCAGCTGCCGGTTCCCATAGAAACCTGAGACTCGCACTTAGAACTGCCCATGTGCAATTGCTGATAAATAAGCTTTTTTAACGCTATTTGAGCGACAAGCAGTTTTTGAGATTTCAGGATTCCCCCATTCAATTAGATGGGACTTGGGGCCCTATTTTAGCGATCTAAGTACATGGTCTAAAGCGCAAGGCGCAAGTGCACTCAGGGCGTGTCCGAATCCACTTTTGCTAGTTTAACGACGGGAAAAATGGACGGCGCACGTGTCGCATGGTCTAAAAGGGTTATCCCTATTCTCTTATTGAGTAATGGGTGTGTTTTGGACGTAACGTGAAATAAACCAACCAGAGTCTCATCTCCCATTCCCTTTAAAAGCCAGTTGTGCTCGCGCCATGGCGGATTCACTATTTACATGACAGAATTTGCAAGTGGAAAGACTGAACGCTTCTCCAGAGAGGGAACGGATCTGCTCATGCGTGAGGTTAAAGTGCGCAAGCAGACCATCTACGGGACAAGCCGGGTTCCACCATATCTTTATGTACACAATAATAATCTTTTACATTGTAATCCTTTTATTTTTAATATTTGGCTAGTTTGTGTGCTGCGCGTCCCTGTGTGTGTAATAAGCATTGTGTACTTGCATTGTGCACCCGCCTATAGGCGCACATTACTAACGCGCCCTTTAAATAAAATAAAAAACTGTTGTTGGCGCAGTCTATTTCAGTTGCCTCAGAATAGCAACTCGCCAACAATGTGCCTGAACACAGTGGAACAAACCGCTGCATTGCGCCGGGTGTATGATAGGGCCCATAGTCTTGAATGCCCAAAATAGCTGCCCCGAGGCGTTGTAAATTTATGCCGCTGAGTGTATGTCCTTAAAAGGGACTTTAATAATATACAAAGTTTGAAGATAATTAACTTAAGACAACATTTTAGACAATATTTTAATGTAATTTAAACTTTTTAAAAAAAAGTGTATTGTATTATGAATAAATTAGTGTATTGTATTAGTATACTAACCCCCGGTTTCACAGACAAACTAAAGTGCAAGTTTGAGCTGTTTTAACTATAAGCAACTTGCACTGACGAATATTAAAATATGTCAGTGCTATTGTTTTGTCTCTAGATGCACACCAGTAATGTTTTTTTCCCTAAGGCACGGTTATAAAAGCTACTTAAATGTCCCAACTGAAGTAAGGCCTAATCCTGGCTTAACACCCTGTCTGTAAAACCGGACCTATAAATGATATGCGTTCTAGGATTGTAGCGTTCTAAAGTTCACTGTAGTGTACTTAAAACATTTTAGAAATCACTCCACTTGTCAGTGATTAAAACTAAATTCTAGATTGCCTATGGTAAGACTGGA